GACTAAATGGAATTGAAACCGGGCTGACTGGATAAAATTGATACTGTGCAGACTGGGTGATATTGATACTGTGCTGACTGGGTAGAATTGATACGAGGGGCTGACTGGATGGTATTGACACAGAGGTTGACTAAATGGAATTGGAACCAGGAATTGAAACCGGGCTGACTGGATAGAATTGAAACCGGGCTGACTGGATAGAATTGAGACCGGGCTGACTGGATAGAATTGAAACCAGACTGACTGGGTGGAATTGATACGGGGCTGACTGGTTGAAATTGAAACGATGGGCTGACTGGAATTGTCCCCCTTGCATCAGATTTTAGCTGGGACGACACTTGACCACAAGGTGATGAAATCGTTGCTACTGTACGTTAATGATAGTGAATTTATCATATTTACTTTGAGTCAGATTTGAAGGTATTGGAAGTGGATAAAAAACGTACGACCTTGTACAAAAAGCACACGTCACATTTCATCGTTATATACTGATCGTACGATCAGTAAATAATTAACATACAATCAGCATAACATTGGCATCTAATTAACTAAGCAATGTAATTTAAAACAACGAGGCAGTCGGGGTGTCGGATTCGTAATCTCGCATGCTAAGCTTCGCCTCAGAAGAAATAATTTCATCCATCAATCAATAGAACAGAACATATTCCGAAACGTGGAAATGGATCAGACGTCGAATCAATGTACCATCGACTCTGTCCACTGAGTCAGAATAAATGGTTATCAACGTAAATGTATTGTGATGCGAGCAAACCCGTCTAGTCACGAGCATGAGCAGTGTAATAAAAAGGAGATGAATTCCGCTTCATTACTTATTTGCTCTAGAGACATCCATCAGAAAGATTGAAAATACAGAGGTGCGTCTGATCAATGTTAGTACTCTCTACAATATGATGTAAAGCCTGTAGCCACGTCATTTTATCCTGGGTCAAACGTTATATCCCAAAAGTGTCCGTGTAAAGGGCTTTATATGACTCAATACCCACCGCCCAAACCATCCATAGATATATATTTTGTACTTTTAAAGGCCTTCGTTTCTTATAAATTTGCATACTTAATTAAGGCAGGTGGGCTGTATACGCAAGATGTGCATAATGACCAACTATGAATATTCATGATCTAACATAAAAATCCATAGAATGAAATAAACAGCTTGTCTGTCATATTGACCTTTCTGTGAGCTCCGAGTTCGGACCCTTAGTCTTGGCGGTGTTACGTAATCTGTATAAAAGTTCTAGACAAATTTATGAAAACATAGTCTTGAGTAAACGATTCATGTCATTTCGTGTATGTGGTCCTGCATTGCTTTCTAGTAAATGAAACCCATGATTATATTTATCACAGATACAATATGCACCCGATCACAAGTTCGTTGGTCGTGATTATAACTGTAGCTGCCATGCACGACCACTAATTGGCGCATGCGCATTTGATGTTGCAAAGTGACATTATATTACAAGGCTTATATGAATAATAAAAACAACATATTTGAATAAAGAGACTTGCATGTTTTAACTGACCATCTATTCGCGTTTAAGATTGCACAGGAAATCCAACAGATTGTAATAAGACATATGTGTTATTTTGAATGGTTTTAATTGGGTCAACGCATTTCATAACTAGGTACAAAGTGCGTACGATGTCGTCGAAATTCATAAGTACATCTGCGCTGGGTTATAGGGTCAGGTCAGTGAACCACACTAGGTTGTGTAGACATGTCAATGAAGTAGTCTGTATAATTCACAATAATAATCATTTAGTAATTATCATTGATTACTAGAATAAACATATTAAAATATTCAGTGTGTAGTTTGTATATCTGCAATGTAGAGGGCGCAGTTCCGACCATGCATGTACTAGCCGTATCTGGTATACTGTCATGATTTGAACTATTCGTTTTTCTTTGAGAGTTAGGCTTTATTTTCTTGACTAGTATATGGGCAGCGGATCTGAAACTTGAAAATAATCTACTGCCATATAAGATTAATATGATTACCATTACTGCCAATACTAGTATTGGTGTAAATATGACGGCATGGCAAATACTGTTCATTATTCTTACTGTAAAATGTTTTTTTTTTTTTTTAGCTAGTATGTTATTTTAGCAAATTTAGCTAATGTGTAATTTAAATTAATTTAACAGAGAGTGTATTCTCACGATGAGATATCTGACACTTTACCTAAATTAAGATTCTGTTAACTCTTGCACTCGATAAAATTTACATACAGCAATTTAAACGTGCTTTATTTATTTCATTAATAAAGCACGTTAAATATTCATTAGGAGTATTAACATGCATTAGCATAATTTATGAATAGTTTCCTGTGGCATGCATTCATTTTCTTAAATCCTGTAATATCATCGGACACATGTAATAAGATGGTGCCCGGTATCTGATTTATATCTCAGGTCAATGAAGACACGACACGTCATATATTTTGATTCAGACATTATCAATTACCAAACCATGCTACATAGAAAACGCATTGTATGAAACGTGACATTATTTTACTAGACAGAATTCATTATGTATTCAAACCGTGCGGTTAAATGTGTTTCAAGGTTGTGTGTTTCACATAATTCAAAAACTTTGCCAATCCACAAATTGATACATTTATCGCATTTACTCTCCCCTCTCGTCAGTGAACTTTCCTTTACATCCACAAGTCATTATTAGCGTGTCAGAGGAAAATTGAGATAACACTGCGCATTCGTGAGAGGCCATAATGCCATCTTATAATAAGGATATATTGCTATGTGTTTGGGATGTTAATGATAGTAAAATGCTTCAAAGCAAAATGAAAAACATGATGGAGATGGTAAAATTACTGTAAATTATATTCTGTTTCTAGTTTATCCTTGAGACACAAATAATAATAAATTTTCCAATAAATTCATTGATTTATACACATGATTACCCGTGATAGCATGCAATATAAATGTCGGGTTATAAGCGTTCGTTGTCCGATACGTGGCCTATTTAACAACGAGGTCAATCTATGCTACGTGTATTATAATGTGTCTACACAGCTCACACAATATCCGTGAATATCGTTTGCAAAAACATGTCCGATATGTTTGAATATTTATGGGTAGCGGGAAATATGGCATCATGGGGATCCGTTTATTTAAATTTACGGTTCAAGTTACCTTAAATTCCTTCTTATCGAGACCTTGTCATGTCCATTACACGTTGGTGGACGTACGGTCTGGGCAACTTGAATAATGCGGGAAAATTTCGCCTTGTGTGTACACCTACGCGCGCCCTAAATTATTTTGATTTCATTCATTCAATATTGCCTTGATGGTATCAATTATTCGGCACCAACGACCATCGCATTATTTGCAAGACTATTGTTTCACCCATTGTTGCTTGGCTACGTGTATAAAAAATGAACTATACTATCAAGGTTACATTGCGATATCAATAGTATTTTTATTTTACTGTAGCATCTGTGTCCTAAAAATACAATAACGAAAGAGCTCAATTGCGTTCCCAGGGACCCACCTCAATGCTATAACTATCATTATTTGCGACACAGTACATCGTAGTACGTCGTAGCAGACGGTCATTGCGACCAATTAACGAAGTATTATGTAATAGACGCAACATTCCAATACTCAGTTAAATATTAATATTTTCAAGTTTAAAAAATGTCATAGGAGTGCCAGCATATTTTTGCATGGCACTTTTACGTAAAATGCAACAACATATTGTGGGCGGGGCACATGTTGTTTTCCGCTACATGTTGTGGCTACAACGCGGCTTAGAATAAGGATGAATTCACTAGCTCATGTATTGATGAGCACGTACATCGCTGAGTACGGAACGCACGGTGCACCTATCTCCGTAAGCACATAACATAGGTTAAGTCATGACCGGTGATTACCTCTCTAGTGGGTGTGTTTGTCTAGCACAGAAAAAAAATGAGAAAAAAAGAAGCAACTCGATAACGTCTTTTTTAAATAAGCACGTTATAACACTATCTGCAAATGACACTAACCTTAATCAAATTAATTTCTGAGTTCTTATCCTTCTTGCGGAAAATCTTAACCGCGTCAGATTTCTTGGCGCTTTCCCATCCATTTTCCGCCCCCTCTGATGCTTCAATTTGCAGTATGTGCTCGAAATCATCCTCACCAAAAGGACTCTCCGTAGGTGCTACCAAAACTGGGGCTGCTGCGACGGCGTCTTTCTTCGTCGCGTCGCTCACCTTCGCTTCATCTGCGGGCTTGTCTTCTTTTGGGGGAGCCTCCGTGTTCTCTTCTGGTTTGGGTTCCGTGACGACAGCGGTTTGCGTTTCGTCTGACATGATTACTGTGTCTAGCGCAGCTACAGTATGGACGCTTTGTGCCACAATAAGTGTAGTGTTCAGTCGGCGAACCCAGAATATATTACATATGCAAATACGCCTTGCAAAGAGTGATGTCACGCAGCAAGACTGCATGGAAACACGCACCCCCAGAATATTCATAAATCACTATTTTATTTGCAATCTCCAATATTTCCAAGCTTTTGATAAATTGAGTAATTTATCCCTATATCGTTTTATTAAAATTACATAATATATATATATATATATATATATATATATATATATATATATATATATATATATATATATATATATATATATATATATATATATATATATATATATGTGTGTGTGTATGAAACAACGTAAACTATTAGTCAAAAAAAATGTTATTCGTTATATTTGCTTAATTATTTATTCAGTAATGAACGCATTTATTGTTGAACAATTAACAAGTAATGTAATAACATGTAACCTTTGACCTCTGTGTTCATTACCGTACGACCTTCTAACAATATGGGACAAGTTGCGTGACGAGAGAAAGAATTTGCATACAACATATCCATTGTTTAGTTATTCATAAATCAGAGCTCGTTTGGCAAATACCACTTTTTATAGTCAATTTGACTAAGGCGCACATACTGGAAGGGCTGACCGCCATATTGACATAACCAAGTAGACTAGTACGAGGACAAGCAAAGGTGGTTGCTATAGTAATATGTACCTACCGGGACGATTGTGACGTTGCTATGTCAACCGCACATAATATAACCGAGCGCACATCGATATCATCCTAATACTATAATCACTATCAGAAAACTAGAATTGAATTTATTGTTATGTAATATTGACAATAATACAATACTCAGTATGTGATTTTATTGATGTAGAACAACGTTATTGCTCTTCGCCATGTATTTGAAAGCGGCCCGGTAATATGCATACATATAAAGCAGGGTGTGATATCGTATTTGAATACTGTGTTCCCGTGCAATTCCAGCTGAACATTCTGAGAGCACATCGTGTTTTTTTAAATATTAAGATGAAAGTTTCATGAAACGTAATGCCTCTCAAAATTTAATTTTACAGCATTGTATTGCACAGGAATCAGATTTATACAGTTACTGCGTATCAAGCTTAAAGGACAGTGGCCATCACGCCACGCATGCGCAATATATGTGTACCATATGAATAAAGATGGCTACTTTTAGCAGTTCAGTGCGTAGATCTACAAGTATAAAAATAAGAGGTTTACTAAGATATAACGAAGTAATTCCTTGAATGAATCGAACACATCGAAGGAATCTAAGTAAAGGGAAAAGTAGGTATTTAGTAAATATCGAGCTTAGTTCAAATGCACTGTGTGCTATTTCATTGATTGATCCGTAGTCAGGTGTAGTTAAACATTTCACAGATATTTATATAACCTGTCTAATGACAATGGCTTTGATTTGCATATTAAGCTGTTTCACGTAACAACATGTATAAAATAAATTAGTTGTGTGATACGCCATCTTGTTCAAGTTATCATTTACCGTTGTTTACAGGTTCACGGTAATTACCGTAACTTATTCTCCGTAGAATATCAGTTGCGTTCTGCGCACTGATAAAAGTGAAATTGAAGACGAGTGTCATTTCAATACATCATGCACTGCCAACACCTAACAAAGATGTTTTCTATTTGATAAATCATCCAAACATATTACCGATTTCGTAAGTTTCAGACAAGAACAAATTTAAAGCAACAAGACATAAATGCCATAGTCCTGTGTACTTTATATTTACACATAAAACAAGTCAGGGGAGGTAACAGTTACATTCAATGTCCGAATCTATTACCCGAGACAAACACATACGAGAAAAAATATTAAATAATGATGCATTATTATATGTTTTGTGATAAAATCATGGTTTAATGGTGATGTATTTATTCTATTCCATGTTAATTCTAAACAAGGCTTCAAATAATTCGTTTGACACATTGAATTGTGTGTGAACGCAACTTGAAATGTGACCACTGTAAAATATGTAATTCGAACACTGTCGTACTGATTCACGTTTTAAATTAAATGTACTATTTTAATTGATGAGAGCGTGACTATGGAGATAATGAAATAAACAAATAATGTCATGGAAATATGTGTCTAAACATTTAAAGTTATATTGTTTATTTTACTATGCAATGTGCTTATGAGTGAAAATATCCAGGACCACTTTTTAAAATAATAATTATCGATATAATTGTATGGGAGTTAACGTGCTGACACTTGGGAGAGAGAAATGAGGACAATTGTACGATGTGGATGGTCTGATAAAGCTCGAGTTGATCGATCATCACTGAACTTTTGAGAAATTTGGGAGTTGGATTGTGGAAACACAAATCTAAAGGAAAATGTTACAAAAAAAACCCCACAAATGGTTGAAGGAAAAAAAATCACAGAGAAACATCATCGTGAAAAAGGCATCTCAAAACTAGGTGAAGGAAAGAAACTAATAAATTATCACAGTAGTTTTATGCTCCGAGTTTCTAATAAGTTCACTTGCAAAGAAAACTGAGTCTGTTCCACGTGATAGATTGTGTATTTTCTTACACATCGTGAAAAAAGATGGTAATGTTTTGTTTGACCATTGAGGGCGCTATCACTGGCTGACCTCTGGGTCAAGAGGATTTACGTGCACTACATTGCCCATATTTGTGGGTGTTCATGTGTTGTGCAGACATCTACAAAACTTATTAGGAAAGTCTTGAATTTAATGGTTGTAAATGAAGTTCCTGCACATGACAGCGACACAAATTAACTCACTTTACTTCAACGTACATGTATATTTTATAAGTTTTTGTAATGGGAATACTAGTATATTATTATTTATATTGTATTTATTTTTCTTGTTTATTAGTTATTGTTCACAACTATGACCTCGTTTTTTCAATTCTGTTTCACTTGTCGTTGTGTGGTCACTTCCTGGCTGTTTAAACTGAGAGAATAAAGTGAATATTGGTCACCAAATCCAGGAGGAGAATAAGGCACTGGAGAGGATCACCTGTAAATAAGGTTTTCATTACTCAACTGCTAGGCCTGGAATTGAGCCCAAGTCCTCACGAAATGTTCCATACACTGTATCAATATCATCATGCAAACAACTAAACTTATGTCACAACCTCAAATCATCACATTCCTTTCCCCTTATAGAGGACTTGTTTTCAGAAACTTTTAAATACACTCGTAAATACTCCAAACTCAATAATAATTAATTTGAATAAATAATTAATAACCATCAAATCTAAATCGCAATATGGTTGTGTTGCAGTACGCGGATAAACTAAATATCTAACACTTACTAATTAGGTAAAACATCGCGTCGTACATGGCACTCGTCATTTTGTTTTCATTCCACCCTAACTAATAACTACTACAACTCATTCCACATGTCATTATGCAAATGACTGAATTTATGGCACAAACTCAAATCATTACACGGGGGGGGGGGGGGTACGCAAGCAGAAGTAAAAAACTCGTAAAAGGGGTGTTATTTAGCTATTAAACGCGTATACCCGTATGTTTAGGGTCGAATATTAAAAAATATATAATTAAT